AATGACATATTGTATATCACTAGTTAAATCTCTTACAGACGTCTATGTTCATTACAACAAAACAGTTACTGCCTTAAACAAACTTTTTATCACACGTCAAAATATATTTGTTTGACAAGGCCTTTATTCCACAAATCAATGGTAATTCACATTATATTCTTAAGCTAATTTTAGTGATTGAATGACCTGAGATCCATTTAATTACTTTGCCCAGTATTGATATCAGGTTAAAAGGTCTGTAATTAGCTAGGGTAACTTGTTTACCCATTCTTTTTCTTTTCTTTTTTTTTTAACAACTGGCATCAAATTAGCTTCCTTCCAGGTCCCTGGCTTTTCCTGAGTAGACCAAGATTTATTAAAAATGAGGATATGTGCATCAAGACCCTTTTGGCCTTCTTTAAGAACTCTCTGATCCTGGAAGTTACTTTAGTCACTACAATAGTTACTGTAGAATAAAAAAAATGATGAAAATGCACCCAGCTCAATAGCTGCCGACGCCCTTTTCCTCCAAGAATGTATCCAATGCTGTTTTGAATCTGGCTGAACTGCTAGCTTCCACATCTGGTGGCAATGAGTTCCACACTTCAATTACATGCTGTATGAAAAAGAACTTCCCTTCTATCAGTTTTAAATTTGCTACCTGCTAGTTTCATTTTATGATGCTCGTTCTTATACTGAGACAGTAAATAATACATCCCTGTTTACTTTCTCTTTGTCATTTACTATTTTGTAAATACTTATCGTGTCCCCCCATCAAGTATCTCCTTTCTAAACTGAATAGGCCTAGCCTCTTTAGTCTCTCCTCGTATGGAAGCCCGTCCATCTTTGCTGCCCTTCTTTAAATGTTCTCTAGTTTTTCCATATCCTTTCTGAGGTGTGGGGACCAGACCAGGGCACAGCATTCAAGGTGTGGATGCACCATGGATTTATAAAGGGGCATAACGATACTTCCCATTTTGTTTACATTCCATTCTTAATAATCCCTAACATTTTGTTTGCCTTTTTGATGGCCACTGAGCTGATGTTTTTAGCAAACTGTCTACAATGACTCCCAGATCTCTTTCCTGTGTAGTAACAGCTAATGTAGAGCCCATCATAGTGTAGCTATAGTTTGGGCTATTTTTGCCCAGGTGCATCACTTTACACTTCTTCTTTTGTATGGTGTCAGATATCAACTTCCAAATCTACGAGCCACTGTTTGGTACTATTGCTCAGTGTGTAGATTCCATCAACCCCATCTGGGCATTTGTAAAGATTGCAGTTTTTGGTGAAGTGCTGTGCCATTTGTTGGACACTGCATTTACAAAGGGGGCTGTCCAAGATGTCATCTTACGAAGTGTTTTGAAGTATCCGTATCCAGATCTCAGTCTTTTCAGCTTGACGCATGCCTCTCTGTAAAGGTCATGCCCAATTGGGGGATTCATTTGGTGTTGGTATAAAATGCTGTAGGGAGAGGTCTGACCTTTCCCAGCGGTTGGCCCACTCCATTGTTCCCCATAGGTTTGGTTCAGCATCCCCAGTGTCTTCCAGGAGCTTGTGGGCTTCATGTACAAACAGTTTATGACTTTTAAACCTCTTACGCTTCCATCTGTTTGGGTCTTCAGTTAACAGTTGATGAAGCAGATGATTTTCACCACCTCTTGCCTCTATTGCTAGTAATGATGTTAGGGTCTGTCTTCTTATATCATTTGGTCTAATACCCCAGAGTACAGCAAGTACATCTGTGATTTTTCCAACTTTACACTTATCTATACTGAATTGCATCTGCCATTCAGATTGCCCACTCACTCAGTCATGCCAGATCCTTCTGTAGTTCTTTACAGCCTACCTTGGTCTTTACCACTTGGAATAAATTTGTTATTGGCAAATTTGTCCATCTCACTACTCACCATCTTTTCCAAATCATTTATGAATATGTTAAACAGCATCCCTGGGGGACCCAGCTGTTTACTTTTTTCCATCTTGAAAATTGACCATTTATACTCACTCTTTGCTTTCTATCTTTGAGCCCACTTCTAATCCGCAAGTGGACATTCCTTGTAATCCCATGACTTCCTCATTTAGTTAAGAGCCTCTGCCAGAGGACCTTGTCAAAGGTTTGTTGGCAGTCCAAATATACTTGTCAGCTGGATTGTCCTGATCCACCTGCTTATTGACACTCTCAAGGAACTCCAGTAGGTTGGTTAGGCATGATTTCCCTTTGGCAAGCCATGTTGATTCCTCCTCAGCAAATCATATTCATTCATTTACTGAACTATTTATTTTTATTATTGTTTCTACTAATTTTCCAGGAACAGAAGTTAGTCTCACTGGCCTGTAGTTCCCTGCACCCCCTCCAGAGCCTTTTTAAAATATGGGAATCACATTGGAAGCCCTCCAGTACTCTGGTACTAAGGCTGTTTTTAGTGAAAGGCTGCATGCTACAGTTAAGAGTTCAACAATTTTGCATCTAAGCTCCTTCAGGATTCTAGGGTGAATGCCATCAGGTCCTGGTGATTTACTACTGTTTATCAGTTTCCTCTAAAACTTTATCTATTGAAACCTCAATTTGGGTGAGCTCCACTGACTTGTCCCTACAGAGGAGTGGATCTGATGATAGAATTTCCCTAACATCTTCCACAGTGATGACAGATACAAAGAATGCAGTTAGTTTCTCAGCAATGGTCTTGTCTTCCTTTAGCAGACGTTTTACACCCTGATCATCCAAAGCCCCAACGACTCCTCAGCAGGTCTTTGGTTTGTAATGTATTTAAATAAATTTTTATCAGTACCTTTTGTGTCTCTAGCAAGCTTCTCCTCAAATTCTCTCTTAACTTGTCTTTACATGTGCTAGTTTACAATTGCTTTGTCAGTGTTTATGCTCTTTTTTTATTTTCTTCGTTATGATCTGACTTGAACTTTTTGAAAGAAGCCTTTTTTTCTGCTTATTACCTGTGCAACACTGCCATTAAACCATGCTGGCTTTCTTTTGGTCTGATTACCATTGTTTTTGATTTGTGGTATGCATTTGCTTCGTACCACCAGTATGGTGTTCTTAAGTAGTTCCCATGACACCTGCAAGTTTTTCACCCCTTTAGCAGCCCTTTTTAACTTCTAAGTAGCTTCCTTATTTTGGTGTAGTCTCCCTGTTTTAAGTTAAAGGCTATTGTAGCAGATTTTCTTGTCTCCCCTCCTACATGGATGTCACACCATTTGCACTGTGGCCATTACAGCTGAGCAGCTCAGTAACACTTGCCCTTTGCACCAAATCCTGTGCACTACTTAGGACTAGGCCAAGAACGTAGGTTCCGGGACTAACTCTTGTAGTTTCCAGGATTAACTGCTGCAGGAAGCAGTCTTTATAACGTTAAGAAATTTAGTCTCTGCAACCCAGCCTGATGTTAGATTGACCCAGTCTGGCTGTGGATAGTTGAATTTCCCAACAGTACTGCATTTTCAGCTGTCAGCCTCTCTCATGCTCCTTTAGTATTTCTAGCTTGCTGCTGCCATCCTGGTCTCGGGGGTCAGTAGTATATCCCTAGACATGCTTTTTTTTTTCTATTTAAAACCTAGATTTCTATCTACAAAGATTTTATGGTATCTCTCCTATCAGTTGAAAATCTAACTTATAATTGATGCAATCTTTGATGTAGCGTGCCACTCCTCCACCAGTGTGACCTACTCCATCATTCCTGTATAATTTGTATCCTGGTATTACAGCATCCCATTGATTTTCCTCATTCTGCCATGTTTTACAGATACCTATTATACCTATATGCAAGTGGGGTTCAACTGCCTCAGGGCACAATCCTTGAGGATCGCTCCAAACCATCTCTAATCAAAGCCTATTAAAAAAAGTTTACTATGTCTTTCATCTGGGTTGTAAATCTAGAAGCTGAGGAAACTGCCTGAAAAATCAGTATTTATTCATCATAAATGATGGCAAAGAAACTCCAAATGTCTTCACTACTGAATGGTCTTTGAGATGCTTTAGAGTGGGGCAATATTTGTGGGGAGGTGAGCTGAGCGGAAAGTGTCAGTCCTAAGCAAGAAGGCATGAGCACCACTAAAGAAATGTTCACCATGATGCAAATGATAAACATGGGTAAAAGATCCATTTAAAGGCAGTGCCATAGGTTAATAAAGTCCATGTTGCAGAGAGCCACTGCTTGAAGGATCAGCTTTTGTGACTTGAACCAGCAGGATTACGTTCTAACGATCCCCCAACAATGAGAATATCAATCATTTTTCTAAGCACTTTTTGACCGCATTTTGCCAGATATCCCTTTTACCCTCAACTCTGTAAAACAAACATCAGAATATTCATATCACTTTTTAAAGAAACTCTGGAGACAAGTTGTGCAGCTCAGTTCTAGACTGTAGCCAGCCCTCACAAAGTTGTACATGTGTGGGCTTGTTCTCCCCAGGGGTAACCTGCTGAAAGGAGCCAGTATTGATGACTGGTTCACCATATGCGAGTAGGCTGCCCCTCATGGAGGCATTTCAAATGTTTGTACATTGGGAATTTCTTGGGGAGGGCTGCCTCCTGAATCTGCCTGGCATGCAAAGAGGTAAAATGTCAAAATTTAGCCTTTAGAAAACACAAGCACTGAGTCAAACAAATTTGATATCCATCTTTCAAAGCTCTACATGTGTATTATTTTTCAGAAATGACTGAGCTTAGAACTGAATGTGTCTGCTGCCTGGCACAGCTTTTCAACAGTTCTTTGCCTATTTATAGGTCTATATTTACATCAGAAAATATAACTTCTGTTATTTTTGGGCAAAGGTAAGTGTAAAGGGCTAATACTTAGAATATTTGCTCTCTGATACTGCATTCAGAGCAAGTCTATTTTTTTCTGGGTAACTTTCCATATCCATTACTTCAGATTCCACATAGATTCTTTTCATATTTCTATAGAACTTGAAGCTACTCTTAAGCAAATAAAACTCTCACACAAGCCTGCAATACAAAACACATTTGGAAGATTAATTAAAGGGAATAAACATCCATATCCTACCTTGAAATTGTGTAAATTTGATGGTTCCCATCCTCTCTCCATTTCTGAATACAACTTGACCCTAAATAAAGTAAAGAAGAAACTTATAATAGATTTAAACATGCTTTTATAAAGTCTTTTAATTCCATCAACAGTTCATCCCAGTTGACAGTTAAATTGCCTAATGTGGACTTTTCTAACTTAGAGATCAAACACCACCTGGTATCTTATAGAAGGACTTTCACGAATCTTAAAGTAGTTTTACAGATGGGGAAACAGAGGCAAAAAGCAGGCAATACGTTGCTCAGCAATATCCAGCAAAGCAGTGACAGAGCCATAAACAGAACTCAGGTCCCTGAGTGTCACACTCAGGCTGTCAAGGATAGGTGTAAGGCTTGAGGACCATGTGGCTGTCTCAAGTCAAGCCACCACAAGTGAGGAGTAATTCATCTGAAGTCAGGAGACCTGCTCAGTGTAAAACCAATATAAGGCATAAGTCTTTCAACGTAAGCATTCTACAAAATAAGACTATTGGTCCATCAAATCCAGTAATCTGATTGTGACAGTGGCTTCTACCAAGTACTTCAAAGAAAAATGGGTATCTCCTTAGTACATCAAAACATTGGGAAATTTTCTTTGGAATCTCATCCCAAATCCTTGCAGTAGAGCAGATTATCAAATAACACATGGCAGCCAGGTCTGGTTTCCAGCACATTCTTTTCTTATTTTGGATAAATGTCCAGATCCTATTCTACCTATTGTTTAAGTGGACTTAGATGCCTAAGTGTGATACTGCTCAACCCTGGTCAAGTCCCTGAAAACCATGAATGCCCTTTGCAATACATCTTCATTTGACCCTTAAAAATGAATCACAAAAAAGTATTCACAACTTAGGCACCTAAGTCCCCTTATGCACCCAGCAGGGGATCCTAGGTATTATCAAGGCTTGTGAAAGTATTCAGTACTTTTGAAAATCCTATGTACCTCAATAGCTTTAGATGATAATGAATGCCAAAAGGACAACTAAATGCTGAATAAATATGTATTGTTTTGAATTATTTTAAAATTTAAGGTAGTGTATTTGAGAGCTTGTCTAATTTTATTCCAACTATGTAGTTGGTCCAATAAAAGATAACAACCTAAGAAATCCTTGCCTTTCACATCTCTTTTAAATTTAAAGCCTTTTAGGGTTGTTTTTTTGTTCTTGTATTATAGAACAGAGCAAAAAAGAAGCATGGAAATAGTGTTGACTGTGACCTTCATTAGTAAGGGAGGTCTGTATGTAGTGTACATCTGGCACTGTCCTTTCTTCCTGTCAGATGTTTGGCACAGCCCTAATGGCCATCATTCCAGACTTATTTAGGTCTCACAAGCCTGCTTTATCCATCTGTGGCACTTTAAGGAGCTATACAACATACACAGCTCCCGTGAGAAGGAAATCCTAGTTCCTTCATTCTACATCAAAGCAGCTCTTCAGAAATGGATGGTTGACATACAGCTAGATAGCATAGCTGGTAAATGTATTTGCCTGATGCTACTACTGAGCGAGGTTCGCAACACGACTGAAGTCACAAAAAGAATGAAGTTGGTAGTGTCAAGAGTAGGGTATACTGACTGGTCTGTTTATTATGATTTACCCTGCACCCAATAGCATGCCAGAAGCCTCAAAAAACATAGTTATGATAGATCTCTGCTCTGTCTGGCTCCTACACAACTGCATAGAACTTACCCTTACAAAAGTGGGCTGAACAGTTGACCCAGGGCTCAGGTAATCATGGGGATTACTTCTTAAGTATTTTTGAGGGTGCAATGTGCCCTTAAAGATGAGAGGAAATGTGTTTGCAGTAATATCTTGCTCCCTTTAAAAGTGGATAGAGGTGAATGTCCTCCCCCAGCAGAATGAACAGCTAAGGGAGGAATCCTGGGGAGTTGAAAGCAGTGTAGCTTTGCAGTACCTTCAATATAGTGCTGTGCCTTTAAGCCACAATCATGCCCAAGCTGTCTATAGCTGTGGCAGGTGGATATCTCCCTCTTCCAGGTGCTGTTGCCTCCAAAATGACTGCTTCTTGCCTTAACATCCTGTGTGTGGTGATATCATTTATCCTCATTGGTATACTTGTCACATAATGGTCCATATTCTTCCTGAACTATTTCTGTTCCTTTGGGATTACTTAGATAAGTATACAACTTTTTAAAGAGTTGAATTAATTCCAGAAGCTGGATGTTTCAAATTAATTTTCAGACAGATTCCAGAGTTGACTTGTGCTACCAAGTACTTTCAATATTCTGAAATTTCAGTGGGGTGTTTGTTGGGGCCAGGCAAAGTTTTGGTAGCTGATTTGATTTGGAGGAGATTTGGCCCGATTCAGCAGCCAAATCTCCAAATCCGAATCGAATCAGGAGACCCATTAAAAGTTCCGAATCGATTTGGAAGCCTCCAAATTGATTCAGAGAGATTCGGAGATTTGACCATAGACTAAACAGGCAGCAGGCCTTGACCACGCTGGACACAGCTGCCTCCAGTTGATAAGTCTGTTGTGGTAGGTGGAGGGAGGGAAGGGGCATGGGGGTGGGCATATAAATGCCTCCACAGCAAGAGAAGGATTGAGGCTGGGACAAACTGCCCAGCCAGGGCAGGGGAGTGCAGGACTTGGGGAGGGGGGCTTCCACTACTGCATGCCACCTGTCTGTGAGGCTAGCTCCAGCAGTCCTGGCTCTGCCTGCCCCACAGAGTGCAGTCGAATGGGGGCTGTTGGGGGGCTGCAGCCACCCTAAAATTCCCCATAGCCCCTGCTGCCGGCCCCACCCCGATCCAGGTACATGCCTCTGCCCTCATGCCCTCCCACTGCTTGCCCAGCTGGGGTGTGGCGGGGCAAAGCTGCGGCTTGTCCAAGAGGTGTGGGGAGGCTGGAGTGGCTTCCGCCACTGTGCGCCGCTTGTCTGAGGTAGCACAGCAGCACCATCCCACGCCTCCCCCGCCTGGCTGGGTGAGGGGCAGGAGGGCATGGCCCCTGCTCCCAGCACCTTCCGCCCAGAGTGAGCCGTGTCTGCATCATATCTCCCCCCTCCCCTCCCAGCTGGGCAAGCAGCAACAGGGCATAGCCTCCATGCATCCCGCGCCCACCCACCCCAGCTGGACAAGTGGTGGCAGGGCAGAGCCCCCGCTCCAAGTGCCTTCTGCCACCCAGCCAGAGCACAGCCCGGCCCAGTCCGCCCTGTGCAGATCTTGGGGCACACACCCGCTCCCATGCCCTCCCAGATTGGTGGCAAGAGCCTCCAGAGGAGCCACTGGAAGAGCACCTCCCGGGTCAGCGGCACGCAATGGCAGAAGACCCAGTCCTCAAGTCCTGCGCCCCCCCCACCCCCCAGCTGGGCAGCTTGTCCCAGCCGCAATCCCTTCCTTGCTGTGGGGGCGTTGATCTGCTCCCGCCCCATGCGCCGTCCCTCCCCCTTCTGTCCACCACAGCAGACCTACCAGCTGAAGGCAGCTGTGTCCAGTGTCCTTGAGGACTGCTGCCTGTTTAGTCTATGACTGAATCAGTGGTGAATCTCTGGATCTGAAAATTGGCCAAATCAAATCACTGTCCCTCTGAATCAGCCGAATACAAACCTGAAGCAAATACTTGCTGCTTTGCACAGGGCTACTGTTTGTTAAGCAGTATGGATGAAGTTTCCCTTTACCAAAAAGGGGAGCATAAAATGTAGGAGCAGGATTATACAAACTTATCTTGCAAACTAGCTATTTTTAAATAGCACTGAAGTGTTCCATGGATTGTATCAATTCAACCTTAATTTTTAAGTATTACTGCTCACATTGGGAAAATACATAGCAGATATACTTGCAGATACACTTATGTTCACAAACTTACTAGTGATATTTGAGCATCAGGTAATCTACTTTCAGTTTGATTTATTATCATAATCTTAGTATTTATTGTTTCAATAAGTGTCAGGATAACAGAATCTGAATTTAAATATGTATGGACAAAATGCTCTTCCTTGGTCAAGCCATCCCCACTTTAGAAGATGATTCCTGGCAATAGTCTGGGAGAACAACTGGTTCAAATCCATAATCCTTTTTTTTCTGGATGAAGGCTGACATCAAAGTTCCACAGCGTATGTATTTTGTCTAAAGCTGATATGGACAATTGACATCTTTCTGGTATGGTGGCAATGAAGAGTTTAAGAACATTGACATTTCTGTACTGAATCAGATAGAGTCAATCTAGTCCAGGGATCCATAACAGATACTTCAGAAGAGGGTGGAAGAACTCATCAGTAAAGAAAAGTGCAACAATCTACATATCACTTTAGGCTAAAACTACACTTCGCCTTAAGCATAAGATTTTGTTTTTAATGATGACAAGTTTGGCATTTGGGTAAGTAGTTTGGCTTAGTGGCTAGAATTGAGAGTGCTCTGGTAGCCACTGGTCTGTGATGTGACTTTAGGCAAGTCAGCTCACCTCACATTTCAGTTTCCCATCTGTAAAATGGGGATGATAATAATGCTGGCCTCCTTTAAAATCTATTTCTAAAAGTGCACTACAAGAGTTAACTATTATTAACAATTTGCACAGAAGTATCCAACACCTGGCTAAATCAGAGACAGATTCTATTTCACCTATTAGGCTTCTGTATACACTTAGACACCTAAATGTGATTCCATTGCACCTTGTTCAAATACCTGAAAATCCACATGGCATCTACTTTAATACACCATCATCTGTCCCTTATGAGTCCCAAGAAAGCAGTGAGGAGGAGGACAAAGACCCATCCACCTTTTGCTTTAACACTTTTTCAGGGACTTGAGCAGCTTGAATAGACTCATGCTGGGGCACCTAATCGACAGACTGGAATCTGACCCAAAGTGTTTAGTCTCAATGATTTCTTGTAACAGTAAATTCCACTGTCTAATTAAGCATTTTTCTGAAAGATAAGTAGGTTTTTTTTGCATCAGTTTTGATGTTAGCAAGCTTTTAACATTGAAAGCTGTCTTGTTCTTGTGAAAAAAGACCAGAATTCTAAGCTTCAGTAGTTTAACAGAGGGTAGTCAACTAGGGCACCAGCCAGGGGTGCCTGCTT